CGGGGCTTGATCCCAGGACCCGGGGATCGTGACCCGAGCCCAAGGCAGAGAAGCTTAACCAACTGAGCCACCCAAGCACCCCAATAAATAAAATCTTGAAAGAAAAGAAAAGAAAGATTAGATATTTAAGGCAGTGATTATTAAATGGGTGATAGAACTTAACTGAGAATTTGATAAGTTCTGGGCCCTCTCCCTGGAGAAGTAAACTTATGAACCTATACCCAAATTCTGAATAGTATGGGGAAGGAAGAAAATCACAGAATTCCTGAAACCTATCCATGGGCCCCTGACCATGGACTCAAGACCCTAAAACCGATAATTTAGGGTGGTAGGATTTTTTTTTTCCTTTATAATATTCAACCAATAATTTAAGTTATATTTTAACTTTAAGAATCCTCCACCAATAAACAAAGATCAAAATTTTGAAATGTACATATCCTTTGAACCCAACATTTTCATTTCTAGGAAATAATCTGGCAAAAATATTAGCACAAATGCAAAGATAACACATATAAGGTAATACTACTGAACGGTACACTTAAATGGTGTACAGATGGTAAATGTATTTTACCCACAATTGTTTTAAAAAACATATACATAGTTAAGAATGTTAATTAAAGCACTCCCAATAACAATTAAAAAAAAAACAAATCACCTAAATGACCAATAGGAAACTGGTTATATAAGTTATGATACACTCTAATTTTGGACTCTTATATGTGTCACTAATCAATAAAACAGCTTTAGGGGCGCCTGGGTGGCTCAGTCGTTGGGAGTCTGCCTTTGGCTCAGGTCATGGTCCCAGGGTCCTAGGATCGAGCCCCGCATCGGGCTCCCTGCTCGGCGGGAGGCCTGCTTCTCCCTCTCCCACTCCCCCGGCTTGTGTTCCCTCTCTCGCTGTGTCTCTCTCTGTCAGGTAAATAAATAAAATCTTTTAAAAAATAAATAAAACAGCTTTATATGTGCCTTAGAGGGGTGACAGCCTAATACAACATGGGAAAAACAACTTGCAAAAGAGTATGCAAAATATTCTGTTCTTGCATCTTAAAAAATGTTTTTTTAAGAAATCGAGTCGGAAGCTTAACCGACTGAGCCACCCAGGCGCCCCAAAAATGTTTCTATATGAGATTGTGACGTGTGGCTATATCTATGTAGAAATAAACATCTGGAAGGACAGGCACCAGAGTGTTAGCAGTGGATACCTGTGGGAGACAAGGGTCTGAGAGGTAGGACTTTCATTTTCTACTTTTACATTGTTTGACTTTTTTTTAACTAGGAACATGCAATACTCTTATAATGTAACTAACATCCATTCTACTTCCCCCAAGTACTTAGCCAGAAGATAACTTTAACTTCTTTGTCTGCCTTTAAATGCTGGCCTTTTTCTGAGGGAGAATGGGAAGGCCATCCATCTTCTGGGAACCCACTTCCCTGAGAATCAGATGCTTCCAGAAGCTATTGCTGCATATAGCAAAGGTCACTACTAAGATAGCAAGTGCCCCAAGGTCTTCTATCAGTGAACATACATCAAGACCATTCCCACAAACCTTCCTGAACTAGTCCTTTCTGTTCTTTTCCCCTCTCCTCTGCTTGACTATGTCACATGGGGTGACAGCAGCTCCAGGAAAGAAGGTAACCCATCTTATCTTAAGAGAGGACCTTGAAAACACACAGAGTGCACTCCAGGTTAGCTACAAGTCGTGAGCCAAGTTTCTCCTTCAACTGAGTCAAGAAGTTGCTTTTAAATATCTTATGAAAGCTGGAGAACATGAGGCGAGGCACAAGGCAATCGCTGCCTTCCCGGCAGAGAGGAGAGAGCAAGGAGGACTCTTCGTACCTGTCCAGAGAGCGGCCCGAAAACTCCTGGCTCTGAGCCACCGGGGAAAGGTAAAGGTCCATGGTCTCCTCCCCGAGCGGACATGGAGATGATGCTGGCAAATAAACAGCTGTCCAGAGGTGCAGGGCCCGGACGTGACACACAGGATGCAGGACCTAGGGAAGCGGCCCCGTACCAGGGTTTTGTGAGCTGTTCCAGGTCCCTCTTCCTTCTCTCAGCCCAACGTTCCCCCCACTTACTCAGCCCATTCTCCCTGTAGGTCTCCAAGTAGCACATACAGGACAAGGGTGGGGACTTACCATGTCGGAGCCAGGTGTGTAGAGGAAGTTATGGAAGTTCTTATTGCCAGCTCGCAGGAGAGCCCACACAGAGCAGGTCCGCTTGTAGATGTTGCGCTTCTCTCGCTCACAGGGGTTGTTGGCCAGGAACGTGCCATAGAGGCAGGAGTACGTGTGCTGCACCAGCTTGACCTGGAGGGCCGAGACAGTTGGCACCTGGGAGCCTCGGCCACCTGTCCCCCCGCCCCTGGCCACAGGCTTTAGGACTTACCAGGAATGCTTCATTAAACTCAAACAGGCAGGGAAACTGCTTGAGCAGCTGATGAACAGAATCAAGCCACTGGAGGAACACCGGGCATTGCTCATTTTGGTCCTCTGCATTCTCCTGGTGGCCGCAGCGATCTCCAAACTTGTGCCCAAAATCTAGCCAGTCAGACTCTACTAAAACTTGGAAGCCCTACAGAAAAGAGAGTCCAAGCATAGGGCCTTTCTGGAAAGGCTAGTGTGCTACTACTCCCCAGGGGATGCCCAAAGCAGGGAGCTGGCAACTTCAGAGAAGAGCAGAACTGATCCTAGAAGGGGACTCAAAGCCACCAATGTCCTCTACTCAAAGATCCCCAAGACAGATCCAGAGGGCCCAATACCTTCCCCACCCCCCTTTCTCTCTGGTCTTTCCCACCCAACCCCACTCAGTACCTCCAGCGTCCTGTAATACGGGTCCAGTAGTATCTTGGCCAGGGCTACGATCTGTGGCGTCCGGTCCCAGCCATCTGAGCAGTGCACCAACACGGGCCGGCCTTCCCGGTCCACGGTATTAGCCACGAGCACGGCTGCCTTGAGCATCACCGACAAGTGCTGCAGCCATTTGGTGCTCTCCAGGGCCGACAACCAGCTACACGAGAGCAGAAATCAAGTCCGTCACCAAGGGCGCTGAGGCTCCACCGGTCTCTCCGCCACCCACGGCCAGCCACACCGAATGAAGTCCCCAGTGAGGGCTGAAGCCAAGGGGTCCAGGCCGTGGCCTTTCTGCCAGGAGCTATCTGGCAGGAAGGTAAAGAAGACAAGACCCGAGGCACACAAGAGACTCAGGACCAAGGGAGGAACAGGAAGCATCGCGTGCACGTTTAGCCATCCTTCCCCCAGTTCTCTGTGTTCTTTACATAGGACATCGGATCCAAACCAAAGGAACCCGGTGTACTGTGGCCGTTCCAAAGTGCTGGCTGAGGAGCAGAAGATGTGCTCTTGGAACTGGCCCGCTGCACCAGGCCCTCGGGTCTCCCGTACCTCCACACTTCCCATCTCCCCAGCTCATCTTCTAAGAACTAGAAGAACGGGGTGAAGGACAAGACGAGGGAGGACAGAATGGGGGCAGGTCGGGACCACCTACTTGCTGGGATCCGGCATCTGGCTACACACAGCCCGGAGGTACTGGAAGCTGTTCCGGATGGCATGGATGTTGGCCATTCCCATGAACACAACCTCACAGTTGGGGTAGTATTCTGTAGACATAAAGATGAGGGTGGAGCCTAAGAGCGTGTCCTAGAAACAGGCATCCAGGACAAGAGTGGTCCCTGTGGACCAGGCTTCCCAGGCTGGGCGGACCACTCCGCTCTGGATGCTTGGGGGCCATATGTTAACAGTAGTAACGAGGATATTAATGACAAGTGATTGTCATAGTACTACTAGTAATGACAACATATAGTAAACTCTCAATATACAGTGGCTGCTCTAGGTCAATAATTTTTATTATCATCCCCATTTTACAGATAAGACAATAAAATTTGGACGGATGCAGCAAATGAGCCACCGCTAGCTAAGTGGAAGAGTCCTAATTCCAAGCCAAGTTTGTTTGGCTCTTTCCACTACACAAGCTGCCCCCAGGCCCCTCCCCACCGAAGCCACCCAGAGCACAGAGCAGCTACGGGGCGGGGGGCGGGTAACAGTCATACCTTCGCACTCACAGCCTCCACCCTTGGCCCGGTTGGCCACTGCCGCCGTGTAGGATCGAGCGTCCAGGATCAGCAGCTTCTGGGGGGCCGCTGTGCTCTCCACTCCAGAGCATGCAGTCAAGGAGGAATCTAAACACACAGCAGGGAGAAGACCCTGGGTCAGCCAGCCCAGCGTCAGCCTACCCTGGGACACTCTCTTTCAGCAGAGAAGAACATACAACTGGAGATTCCTGCCCGCCCACAGCCTCCCAAAGGGCAGGGACCCCGGCACCCTGTGTGTTGTCTTCTTCCTGTCCTCTCATGGGGGGGGTGGGGGCGTGCTCCCTGAAAGCCAAGGAGGCCAAGGTGGGGGCTCTCCAGCGAGTCAGCACCACCCGAAACACCTTACCGAAGTCAGTGTCACATGCCTCGCTGGCATCACTATTCCCAGTGCTGAGGGAGCCCCCAGTGGCCCTTGTCCCCGGGTCCAGGGCACAGGCTTTGGCGATGGACGTGACCAGGTACTCATCATCGGCATTGCGCCAGCCCCACCAGCTGATCTCCGGCTGGCTGCAGCGGGCGATTGCAGCCCCGTTGCGCAGGTGTCTGACGAGACGGAAGTAACCATCATGCCCTTGCCGTCTGCAGCCCCCAGCGGCCCCCCAGGCCTACCACCAGAGCCGACCGGGGCTACCCATTCACCCAGGCTGTGATACTAGCAACTAAAAGCCCTTGACATATCTAGAGGGCTCTACAGTTTACAAAGCGCTGTCACACACATTTCTCAAACGGTCTGTGTGTTCCCAAGGTGACCTTGACTTCTTGAATCTGCACAGCACCTGCTCCAGGTACAGATCCCAGCAAGAGAACAAGCCTAAGCCCATAGCAGAACAACTCCTAACCTCATAGCTGCTATCTCACTCTATTTTAGCTACAATGTTCTAGTGCAGGGGATCGGCAGGCTTTTTCAGTAAAGAAACAAACAATACATGTTCAGCTTTACATGTCACAGCCTGTCTCTGTCACATATTCTTCTTTCTTTTTGGGTTTAAAAAAAAAAAAAAAGCAACCGTTTAAGAATGTAAAAATCATTCATAGCACTGGGCTGTACATAAAACAGGCTGCAGGCTGGATTTGGTTCACCAGGCCATAGTTTGCTATCCCTGTTCTAATGCAACAATTTACACACACAACATTGTACACACATTGATGCAACATTTTACACACGCACGCACGCACACACACACACACATCCTCCGGAAAAGTAAAGTGAATGTATTCTCCAAAAGCCTCATCTTTAGAAGAAAAGAGCTAAGGCAGTTTTTGATTGGAAATTATTTCATTTCCTGCAGGTGTCAATTCCCAGCCAACCAGGCACAATCTCCACTTTTGACTCCGTCCTTCTTGCATAAGAAGTGTCCTCCCTGCTTCCTGTCCCCTACTGCTCACCTATACACAACCACGGGGATCCGCTTCCAGGAGCGGAAGGAAGCCACATTCTCCAGCTCTTTGTCTGTGATCCACACAGGAACCAGCAGCTTCTGGGGGTAACTGGGGCACAATCTGTGAAGAGACCAGATGGGGTCACCAAGAGTGATCTAAGGCCTGTGACAACAAGATCCCCAGGGGTGGCTTTGTGGGAAGAGAGACCAGGAGGCCTCCTCTGTCACAGAACCAGGGGCTCGGCCCAGCGAGGTCGGAGTCTGGATTGGTATTTGGGTTCTCCACCCCCTGCCCTCTCACTTGTAGTTGCTGTTGATGTGGGAGACTCTCCAGACATTCTGCAGATCAAAGCCCATCCTCGTGAGCTCGGCCTCCTGCCGACATCGTATGTGCTCTCCTGCAACACAGCCCCCGTGCCTGCCCGTCAGCCTCCAAGGGCGCCATGTCTGTGGGCGGAGGAGGGCTAAGAACCAAGAGATAGGAAGTCTCCCAAATAAAACAGCCTGGCCTTACCTGGCTGACACAGGTGGGTATGCTGGTCCTCCTCTGTCAGCCCCAGGCACCAGGCATGGTAGGCGAAGGCAAAGAGGTCTTCAGGCTTGGCAGGTCTCGCGGTGGCCCGGCTTAGCCGTGACAGCCACTCTTGGCACTGCTTGAAAGTGGAGAAGTGGCACCTGCCAGGCGAGAAGCCACAGACTGAGACAACAGACAGGTGTGCCTTGGGGCCATAAGGGTCAAAAACAAGGCCACAGGAAGGATGTGGGGAGGGGAGGCTTTAAAGCAGGAGGTAAAGCATGGGGACCCTGGGGAGGACCAGGGACACTGGCCAAGAGAACTTGTCTTTGTGACAATTGTCTTCCCAAGAACTCTAGTCCTTGGGACATACTTATCCCTTCAAATGGAGCCCTACCACTTCTTACATCAAATCTAAACTCTACCACATGTCCCTGAATGTCCTGGTACTCCATGTTCTCTCACGACTCCTGCTGAAGGCAGGAGTCCTATTCACACCATTCCTGTGTCTTTGTTTCTTCACTTCCTCTTGATAACGCCTCCTCTCGGCCAAGCCACATCCTAAGGACACTTGGAAGACAGTTCTGGTCCCCCATCTTCTTTGAAGCCTTCCCAGCCCACCCAATTTTACAGACCCCTTCCTCTCTCAGTCTTAATATGCTTAGAGTATTAAACAGTTTTCCCACAGCATATTGCCACTGTTAAGTCTTCCTTCAGCAACTAGACCTCAACCTCCTTGAAGGGAAGGCCAGTGTGGATTCTCCTTCTGAATCCCTACAGACCTGAGCACATGACAGATTCTAAACTGAACACTCTTTTAATGATCCTTGGAGTCATTCCAGATTCCTCTTTCTCTCATATCCAATCTGTCAGCAAATCCTGTCATCTCTCCCTTCAAAAATCTGAACGCTTCCCGCCATTTTGGCCACTGCCACCCCAGCCAGGCCACCATGCTCTCTCACTTGGCTCACTACGAGAGCTTCTTAACTAGTCCCTCCGCTTCTGCCCTTGCCTTTTCGCCTGACCCCCTCCCATCTATTCTCAATAGAGCAGCCAGAGCGATTCTATAAAACATTAGAGGGCGCCTGGGTGGCTCAGTTGGTTAAGCGACTGCCTTCGGCTCAGGTCATGATCCTGGAGTCCCGGGATCGAGGCCCACATCGGGCTCCCTGCTCAGCAGGGAGTCTGCTCCTCCCTCTGACCCTCCCCCCTCTCGTGCTCTCTCTCTATATCTCATTCTCTCTCAAATAAATAAATAAAAAATCTTTAAAAAAAAAAACAAACAAAAACAAAAAAACATTAGATCATATCTCTCCTTTGCTCAAAACCCTGCAGTGGTTTCTCATTTCCCTCAAAGTAAAAGCCAGTCATTATGACACTCTGACACCCCCCTTACCTCTCAGCTCTTATATCCCACTACCCTCACCCACGTGCACTCCACTCCAGCTACACTGGCCTCTTGGCTATTCTTCCAATATGCCAGGTACAATACCCACCTCAGGGCCTTTGCACTCACTGTTCTCTCTGTCTGGCACCCTCTTCACTCAAATATCCACATGGTCACTTTCTTCAGGTCTTGACTCAAATGTCACCTTTTCGATGCAACCTTCTCTGACCCTATTGTTTAGAGCTACAACTTTCACCCCCATAGCACTCCATATCCCCTTTCCCTGCTTTTTCATCTTTACATTTACTATCATTTAACACATTTTACTCATTATTTACTGCTGGTAATTACCCATTGGAATATAAGCTCCATGAGGGCAGGGAATTCTTTCTACTAGTTCCCTGCTGTATCCCCTGTGCTTATAACAGTCTGCCATAGAGTAGAGTGCTCAATAAATATATGTTAAGTGAGCTAATAAATGAACCCACCATCATGTGAGCTCTACATGCCAATCCTAGGTGCCTTCACTACCCTATTTAATCCCTATGACAATTGCATGAGCTATGCATTATCCCATTTTTTCAGGTCAAGATACTGTGGGTCAGGAAACTGACCTCCCAACCGACAGAGGGTTTCTACCTTTTCTTCCTCATGGGGAAAGTGAGACAATATTTTTCCTTCTTGCTCCAGAGAAACCCTGCATCAGAGACGTCTGGGCAAGACCAGGGCCAGAGGACCTGAGCGTAGCCCCACTGTTCTCACCTCACCACCTTGGAGTCCTTGCAGGCAATGTGCAACTGGAACATATCACGGCTCTCCACACTGTCAATCATCCGGAGGGGGACCTTTAAAGGAAGGGCAAACTAAAGCTCAGATCCCCACCCCAGCCTAGATGGGGATGTATCCAATACAAGGAAGGAAGCTGATATTCACTGAGGGCCAGTTAAGTGCCTGGTAACTGTGCGGGGTCCTCTACCTATGTGACCTTAAAGAATAATCACAAGAACCCTGCAAAGCAGATATTTTCACACCAAATTATTCCGAAGGAAACTGAACCTCAGTTGGGTGGCTTAACCAAGGCCACACGGTCGGTAAGCGGCACTCTTCCCAATAATGCCACTGTGCCCCTTAGAAGGGTCAGCAACAGAGTAAGGGAAGGAAGAATAAGAGAGAGGCAGGAGGACAGACCCACAGCCAGGAGAAGGAGGCAGGAAAACAAAAAGTTAGCGAGAAAAAGAAAGGAACCCCAACTCTTTGGAGACATGATCAAGTCCAGCGCTGGAGCAATCCCACCTCGAACCAGGCAGGGATTCTGCCTTGGGTGCGGGAGAACAAGACAGGAACTCACGTTGATGACAGAATCTTTGAACTTGATATGCAGCCGGTAGTTGGAGATGGCAATGAGGGCATCGGCTGCCCGGCCCAAGAACTCCACTCCCTCACCCTGCAGCACTGTAAAGGGCACCTGTCGAGGGACAGAGGAACCCTCAGTCCAGAAGTGAGTCATCCCTCCATTGCCCTCCCCAACCCCGACCTGTGGGATTCCCTCGGGAAAAGTTGGGCCAAGGCGAAACAGCAGAGTCCTCTCCACGGTAGCAGCACCAGGCAACGGCCACACGGGAAAGCTGCCCTTCCTTCCCTGGGGCCAAAGGCTCCGTAGCGCGCACACACACAGATTCCCCTCCCTCTGGAGACCCGGAAACAGGAAGCCAAAGCCCCAGGACGAGATCCCCTTGGAGATGCTGTTTGTGGGGGAGGGAAGGAAAGGTCTTTTTAACTGGGCAGAGAGCTCCCCCACCCTGGGCCCCCAACTCCTCCTTACCTGCAGGTTCTCCTCCTCTTTCACTAGTTCCTTGGGGGGGAACAGATCCTTGGCTTGGATGTACTCCAGGCTGGGGGGCCCCTCCTCACCCTGTGGGGAAAGCCTCAGCCCTAAGTCACCAGGCTCCGTTTGGCCCAGCAGACCTCATTCTGCTCCCCTCCCCTCAATAAACCTGCACAGACCCCCTACACACTTATAAAGGTTTGGTCACCAGAGGAAGGAAAAGGGGCCTGGCTTGGTGGGAGGGGAGAAGTGGAGGGGGTGCTCAAGCCTAGTCAGCCTAAGGGAAGAGTAAGGTCCGAAGAGGAACTGGGAGTCTGCACTCCTCGAAGAGCAGCAGAACCAAATAGAACCAATATTTCCCAAATGGAGGAAGAGAGAAAACTAAGAAAAAGAGAGAAAACAATGTGAGGGTAAGACAGAAGTGGGAACGGGAGGTGCTGCCCTGAGAAAGAGGAACCAGGTGTGGCAGCTGGATATGGGGACAGGAGGGAAAGCGGGCCCCTAAAGCCACAGACACTTCAGTCTGGTAGGTGAAGGAGACAAAGAGAAGTGGGTTGGGGGATTCAGTCCCATGCCTCTAGAGGGCCTTCAGGGATGCTTTCAAAAGGAGGATGTGTTTTGGAGCTGAGCTTATCTTCCAGTTAGGCCCACACTGCTCAAGAGCCTCCCCCCCCACCCCTCCACCTACCAAGCAACCTGCCCTGCCTACTGATAAGAGGGGAATTCCTAAGGAATACCCACAGCAAGCAGAAGTAACTCCTCTCCCAACTACCAGGGAGGGGTGAAGAGGGGATCCACGGGTCTGGGAGAAACCAGGAGACTCAAGGAAGGCCAGGGGAGAGAGAGAGGAGGCCTGGCAGCCACCCACGGGGGGTGGGGGTGGGGGTAAGGAGGGGAGGGGTGGGAACATCTGAGAGGACAGATGGGGGAAGCTGGGAAGGAGCATTAAGCCAGAGGGGGAGGAGGAGGGGAGGAGGGGAGGACTGGGAATGATGCAGAGGTACGGAGCCCTGCAGAGGCAGGGAAGATGGAGAAGAGAGGCTGTCTGGGGGACAGTCAAGGAGAAAAGACTGGCGTGTCAGGTGAGGTATGGAGTGGTGGAAGGGGGAGGGGAGTGGAGCCAGGGAAACAGCTCAGACATCCTGTGCTCCCCGACTGGCCCCGTAACATCCCAGACCAGCCACATCCCACATCCCCGACCAGCCACATCCCACATCCCCAAGCAAGGATGCTGCGGGTGGGACCAAGATGGAGAGGCGGAGGTAAAAGGATGTACCCCTGCAGGGCGGGGCCTGGAGATCTGCAGTCAAGGGCAGTGGCTGCGGGGCCAAGATGGGTCACAGAATTTCCAGCCCCCGCTTTCCATAATCCCCGGCCCCCGAAGATGAAAGCAAGTCCACGAAGGAAAAGGGAACCCCCCTTCCCCTGCCAGGGGCCACGAGAAGGGGGATGGGCTAAAATTCGGAATCGCCAAGGGCTGGCCCTGGGCGGGGCTGCGGGTGCAGCAAGCACTGGGACCCCCGGGCCCCCGCAGGCCAGGCTAACACTTACGAAGCAGCTGAGCATGGAGCAGGAGACGCGGGCGGTCAGGCTCATGGTCGCGGGCGGTCTGGGCCAGCGCACATGTCCCCGGAGCCGCTGCGCTGCCCGCCAGAGCCGGGCGCCCGCCGCATCCCGGCTGCGGGGCCCGCCAGGTGCAGCCGCGGCGACCAGGAGGCGAGCGCGCTGGCGGCGGGGCCTCGGCTCGGCTCCCGCGCGCCTCTTCCCTCCTGTCCACAATGGAGCGAGCCCGGCTCCGCCCTCCGGCACGAGCGCGGAAGGGAGGGGAGCCGGACGAGGGGAGCGCCCGGGGCCGCGCGAGGAGGGGCGTGGGGGGGCGGATCCTCTCGGCCCCGCCCACGGCTCCAGGCTCCTCCCTCCTCGCGGCCCCTCGGCGGCGTGCGAGGGCGTCCTCAGGGGACGTGTGGGGGCTTTCTCAGTCTGGGCTGCGGGACTGCCCCCAGACCGCGTGAGAGGGTGAGGCAAGCCCTCCTACATCTTTTCATTTCCCATATTCTCAGGTGAGCCGGCCCACACCCCTCTTTTCACCCTCTGTCCCCATGCTCTCCCCACTGAGTTCCCCCAGTGCCTGTCCTGAATTCCCAAGATAAAGCCCACCTACGGTTTCAAGGCTTCCTCTTTTCCCTAAAACCACCACCTGCCATACCCCTGTCCACCAGTGTCCTCCAATCCCTGACGTCACTAAATCGCACTCCCTTTTTTTGCCCCTTAGAACAGACACTGGTCTATGCCAGGTTGGTCACACCACACTCCTGAAAGGGAAGTTCTCTAAGTGTTTTTATTCCATGGCCTCTGCCCAACCCTACTCCTTCAGCTCCATCTCCCTTTGTTTCACATCCTCTGAAGTCTGGATAAGAAAGTCCTTCTTGGAGAAGAATTTTTTAGGCTGGGAAAGAGAAGACTGGAACTACAGACCACAAAAGCTATGCAAAAACAAAGAGTAGGGTATGGATGGAGTTGGGTAGAGGGCCAAGGAATAAGGAACAGTGAGGCTCAACGTGTCCTCAAGAATCACAGAAGTTGCTGGTCAGAACCCCACACTTCCTGTGCCTGGTAACTTGCAGAAACCAGGGCTTTGGTTTTGCTTTGGTGGGGGGGGGGGGAATAGGAGAAAACCTGACATTGTATTAAGCATCTACTATGAGCCAGACAGGTTTCAAACATTATCTCAGTAAAACCTTTCTTTTTTTTTTTTTTAAGATTTTATTTATTTATTTGACAGAGCGAGAGAGGGAACACAAGCAGGGGGAGTGGGAGAGGGAGAAGCAGGCTTCCTGCAGAGCAGGGAGCCTGATGCGGGGCTCAATCCCAGGACCCCGGGACATGACCTGAGCCAAAGCAGACACCTAACGACTGAGCCACCCAGGCGCCCCTCACTAAAACCTTTCAACTCTCCAAGAATTAACCTGTTTTGCTGGTGAGAGGTCAGGCTTAGAAAGAAAATATGCGAGTTACCTAAGCTATTTAAATGGTGGTGCTAGGATTCAAAAATAGACTCGGCTAACTCTGAAGCCCATGGTCCTTTCGGAAAGTCACAGAAGAAAAAAGGAAGGGGGCTATTAGTGGGTGGGGACCAAGACCAGCAGGCTTTCTAGGAAGAGACCAGAACCACATACCCACATGCCTGCGGAGGGAAGGAGAGGTCCTCTCACCAACTGAATTCCTTAACCTGCACAGGGGACACTTGAAGAAACTGAAAAGATACAGCCAGAGCAAGGGCCTGCAACTCTCCGCTCTCTTTTCATCTCACTGCCTCCTCCTCCGAGTTCTCCGGGGTTAGGTAAGGGGTTCCCTGAACGTGAGATGAGAGAAGGGCATTTCCAGTTAATGGAAGGTATACAGGATCATTATCACCCCCACCCCTATTCCCTGCACAACCCAGTGATATTCGGGACCCCTTGAGGCTGCTCTCCTGCTATATATCCAGTCAGCTATGAGTGCAGGAGCTTAAAAGACAGCAGCATCTTAGAGCTGGAGAAGCCCCACCATTTTGGTGGAGTCACTCCTGATACAGCACCCACAATATTCGAGGGGCCCACTAGGAAATGCAAGGATCTTGAGATAAAGGAGGCCTGGTTTTTCAGACCAGAACAGAGAGCTTCCACCAGGGACCCAAGAAAAGCAAGAGAAGGGCCATTATGAAAGGCTAAGAGAGCCAGTGGTAGTATAGGGAAGGCATGGCATACATAGCATGTGCAGGAAAAGACTTCTAAGGCTTCCTGTATATTGGCTGATGTTTTGCAATCTAAAGAAACCCTAATTTATTTCCAGGAGAGATGAACCTGTTTAGAGGCTGAACAGAGTAGCATGGAGCTCAAGGTCCAGGAGAGGTAGGGCAGCTTCACAGAGAAAGACAGAAGGATTATAGAAAACACAATGGTCTGAGGAAAGAGAGAATACTCACCATTCTACTGTGGTGAGGGTCCTGGCTGTCTGCTTCTTACTGTAAAAAGACAGAAACAAGATTAAAGAGCACCATTAACATTACCTTAGAATCAGCAAATGCCACACATCTGCTCCTAACCTCTACAGCGAATTTCACAGAGAATCCGGCCTCTCCACAAGTCCCCGTGCTAGACAGAGGCAATGTGAGCTACGTGGGGAGAAAGCAACAAGTGATTCTGCAGGGCATGGAGTTGGCCACAAAGTTCTGGAGCAGGAATAAGTGTCATCCAAGATTATTCAGCAGAACTCAAGGGTCCCGATTCCCAGACCAGAAAGAGAAGAACACTCCAAACACTGTTCTTTTTGGGAAAGCAAAAGAACTGCCAACTCTGAAAAGAGAGGCTGCCCAACCAGGACTTAACTTCTGGCCCTGGAGGGACATGAATCCACAGGAACGCTCTGCCAGCCTCTAAGTCTGGGAGTAGCACCCACCTGACCTGTTTACTGGGGGCAGAGTCCAGAGCAGAGGACAAGAGGGAGGGGACCACAACCTGTGAGCAGAATGCCTTCTGGCAGCAGGACTGAATAGATCTGCTGAAAGTATTTGGCACTAAGTGGGATGCAGGTTTGTGGGAGGAGGCCACAGAACAGGGACAATTAGGCCACCCCAGGCCTCAGAGTCAGTACCTGTCAAATGGGCCCAAGCAACAGAAATTCAGGATGGGCCTCCTTGGCCCACTTAGGGATCCAGGCCCAGGTTTTACTGACACTTTCTTTCATGCCTGCTATCCGAGCTCAGGAGCAGTCCAGCAGTGCCCTGCGGAAGGCCGCGGGGATAAAAGCCTCCATCTGTGGTCCTGCCAGCCTCCCTGATCACAGCCCACCCGTCCTCACGGGGGAGCCAGCAAGAGGCAAGCCAGAGGTGCTGCCTCACCGCCCACTGGCACGCAGCCTCAGGGAAATGGAGGGAGGGAAGGAGGAACAAGGACCAGGGCTGGGATGCCCAGGGCTCCCGGACCAAGGGGATCTGGCCCCGGGCCGGGGAGGGGGGGGAGGCGGGCCAGTCTGGCAGGAGGGCCCAGGTGTCCAGGTTCTAGAGGCGGAGCCTAAAGATTCGGAGGCGGGGCCCAGAATGACAGAGGGCGGGGCCCATGAAAGCCGGAGGGGCTGGGGCGGGGCGGGGCAAGACGTGGTCGTTGCGGTTCCCAGACTAGCAGTGCACGGGGCACGGTGACTCACCCAGGCGGCGTCCGCCCGACCCTCCGAGGCCGCGCTCTCACCACTTCCGTCTCCCCCAGCTGCCGAGGCCGCGCAGCTTCGACCCCACCACGGTGCCTCTTTCCCCAACCAATCGTATCTCCGGTCTGTGCCCGCCCTGGCCAATAGCCACACCAAGTCCCGCCCTGCCCCCACCACGCAGCCGCCGCCCTCACTCTTCACTCCGCTCATTGGTCAAGTGGGGCAGACGCCCTCCCAGCCTTCAGCCTATCGGGTGCCGGAAGACAAGACAGTACCTGGAGGGAGGAGGCACGGCCCCGGAGAGGAGGCTCGGCCAATGGGAAATCACAGCGCGTCCCTGCGGCAGCCAATGAGAGAGCAATAAGAGGGGGGCTGCTGGATGAGGCTCCAGGGGCCGGAAGTGGGGGTGGCTGTCGCCTACTGGTAGCGCAATTGGAGGCGGAGCCTTGTAGGGGCACAGGCCTTACAGCCACTTCCGGCGACGACCACGCCTTGGGTGTAGTTCTCAAATAGATCCCCGGTGGCACCTTAGTTTGTCCATTTCCAGTTTTTGGTTTCGCTGCGGTTATCTCGTCCCAAACCCGGAAAGGGAGAAAAGACCCCGCAGGCTAAGAGAGAAGGGAGGCCTGGGCGCGAGGTTCTGTCTTCCGTCTTCTCCGACTGGAGGCGGGAGTATCCTCTCTTCTGCGTCGTGACGGGTTCCTCCGACCCTTACTTTGCATCAGCGAACCGACCGTGCCGTCCTTCAGGACCTGCATGGTGCCGTCAGTCCCGAGTAAAGATCTCTCACTTGAGAGATATGAAATCTGGATCTCAGATTGCCACTAGCTAGCGGCGACCTCCTGGTCTGTAAAGAGAGTGGGAACAGGACTCACCCAGCTCTTTGCTCCTCCCTTCCTCTCTCCCCTCTGGGAAGCCAGAGTAGGCAGCATGGCGGAGGGTGGCCGCTGGAGGTCGCCATGGCCAAGCGATACCACCAACCCGGCAGAACTGGAGAACCGTTGATTCAGACTCTCAACCGATAGCTTCACTGTGGGGGGCTGGCCTGAAGGCTTTACATACCAGGCCCCGGCGCCAAATTGTCTTCACGTGTTTCTGTTTACAGAACATTGGAACTTTTACTACAGCTGGTAAATTCCGGCAAAACAGGAACCTTGCCCGTGTTCACTGCTTTAACTCCAGGGTCTAGAACAGTGTCTGCAACTTAGCAGATGCTTAATATTTGTTACATGAATATTGAACTCTTCCAGGACGATTGTACTTTACTCATTCCCAGCACTTACTATAGTGTTTGATGATCACAAGTGTTTCAGTATTTGTTCAGTGCTCTGTTACAGGCTTCCTAGAGGGCAGAGCTTAATTCTGTATATATCCCTTTCCCCAAATCAGGGGAAATAGGAAGTCAGGAGGCTGCATGCAGGTAATACCATGTTTTCCCAAGAGCAGATACCAGATCCAAAGCTTCCATAGAACTGAAAATACTGTATGTGGAAAAGATGGAGAGGATCAGGCCCCAGATCAGAGAGGCAGGATAGATGTGGTCAGTACAACAGGCCCCAGATAATAGAGGCAGGATAGATGTGGTCAGTACGAAGGAGAGGCCAGGTTGGATTCTAGGCAGAGACCGAACACTGTCATAGGAGAGGAAAGTTTCCCCTACTCCCTCTTTCCTACTAAAAGCCAGAAACCAGCACCCTTTCAAAAGTGGGTCCTAGGATCTTCTTGGTCTCCAGGAGGTGGTAAAGATACAGACAGCGACACCAGAAGGCAGCTATAGATTGGTTAAACTTTATTTCCTCTGAGTCTCTGGGGAGGCAGCAGGGATGTAAGGCGAAGTGGCAGTAGCTGCAGGGGCCTTAGCAGAGCTGGTGCTGGGAGGGGCCGGCATGGGCAGGACGAAGAGGAGATTTAAATATCCAGGATTGAAAGCCAGCTAATGCGTCTCCTTCATCTGTCTTTGGATTTTGTGCAACATCTCCTGCATCCGCCGCAGCTGGAACAGGCACACACAGCAAAATGGGGCCTTTTAGAGTCCTACAGTGCTAAGGAAGTGCCCCCAAGCTCTGATCCCTTAGCCAGGGCCATGGTAGCCCAGAGGTGTGATGGAGACCCTGGGTAGAACAATCAATCCACCAGTCCAGGACCCAGATAGGTACCGGGGCCAGGGATCTTCCTACTCCCAAACCAAGAAATACTGAGGTTTATAATTAAGCAGGGACCCTCCATGCTGTCAATCCCTACCACCCCATACTGCTCTCACCTCCTCATCTTTCTCTCGGATCAGCCTCTCTGTTTCTGGATCTGTCCCTGGTGGGACAGCAGGGATGGGGAAGTCGGTACCACTCTCTCGAGTCAGTTTGCTGAGGGGAAGGGGAAAAGGGGCTTGGTAAGGCTAGGGGGACCCCAGCACCTGCTTGGACTGAGCCCAGGGCCTGTAGAAGAACAAAGGAAGGGCTTGCTCTCACCCAAGGCTGCGCTTGGGATCCCCCCCGCTGCCAGCTCTGTCCTGGCTTGTGGCCATACTTGCGATTCCTTTCTTTCACCACCAGGCGGGTCATGCTCTGGATGCACTGTGCCCGGTAGTTCTCATAATGTGTCTCCCGCGTCACATCCTTCAGGTCCTGCATGTGAGTACGCACCAGCATTGTCCTCAGCTTCACAAAGTCGCAGTGTCCTGGGTTTTCCACTGCATAGCAAGGCTAGGGGTCAGCCAGGAGCATGGGGAGAGCCGCTGAGGGCAAGGAGATGCCCTGGTCACAAGCTCAGTGCTTTACCTTCCACGATGCCCCAGGGGTAGAGCCGGCCCCGAACTCGCCGCCCTCTGGCCTCTACCACAGTGTTGCTGCCAATTACAGCAAATGGGATGCTTTCCTGGAAGAAGTTGGGGGGGGCCTGTCAATACCCCCCATTCTCACCTGTTCTTTTCCACCTATATCTTTATTTTCTCTGCTTCACTCTAGGAAAACAGGGTCCTTTCCCACCCCTTAAAAAGAATTCTACTTCCCTCTTCTGCCCCGAAGAAACAAGATGGAAAAGGGATGCCCTGGAGTGGCCCCACCTTTAGGGCTTGGTCCTGTAATTTGAAGTCCTCATCCTCATCAGAGTCGCAGTCTGGGAACTGATAGACCTTGATTCCAAAGCGCTCAATCTCCTCTCGGATCTGGCAAACACATGAGGGGCCCACGGTTCTGGCGACCCCATCCTTTCCAGAAGCCCACCTGCTCCCCTCCCCCCACCAGCTTCCCTCACTTTGCGTTTCTTGCGCTCCACTTCAGGAGGTGTCAGCGTGTCCGCCTTGGCCAAGATAGGCACGATGTTGACCCGCTGATGCAGGGCCTTCATGAATTCAACATCCAGTGGCCGGAGCCTGGGGAACAGGAATGTGTGACCCCGGGCTAGCAGCAGCCCTGCCCCTGGCGCTCTCAGCCGGCTCCCTTAGCAGCACCTGGCGGGCTCAGGAGCCTCAGGCTCGGACCGTACCCGTGGCCGAAGGGTGAGATGAAGTACAGGCAGCAGTGCACCCTGTTGTCTTGGATGTTCTTGCGGTTCAGGCCACTCTCGTCTCGGAAATACTGCTCAAACTGCTGGTCGATGTATTCTGCCACAGGCTTCCAGCTGGGGCAGGGGACAGACAAGCAGAGAAACTGGGGAGCTCGGGACCACAGAGTAGCCCACGCCCTGGGCAGTGTCCTCAAGGCTCTGTTATTCCCTGGCTGCCTGCCCACATCTTCAGGGAGGTACCTGGGGGCAACAGGGGTGTATCTCGCCTGTCCCACTAGAAAACCGGACGAAGCACACAGGCGAAGTTCAATAAATACTAGTTTGAGGAGAGGAAAAGACCAAGGTGACCAAACAAACCAGTAAGAATAAGATGCCTGCAGGTTAACGCCACCTGGAAGCCCTCGGTCACGTTCACAGTCAGGTTCATAGTCCCAGCCTCCAAACCTTTGTTCATGTGCTTCTACCCTCGCCTCCACCTCTCTAAACCCACCCCATACTTCAAGGCCATAGCTAAGAACTCTCTCTTCCGTGAAGACTCCTTCCAGTGTACACAATGCTCTCCCCTTCTCTCCACCACACAGTGAAATCCTTTATGTATATATATATATACACACACACACATTCAAGAACTCCAATTTTCAAGTCTTTTGCTCTTCTGTTATTTAGCTTCATCCTCACTGACAGGTGCCCTGATAGGTGGACATATAAGCACCGTCACTTTCATTTCATACAGGAAGGAACTAAATCTGCAGTGGCTAAGAGACAATCCAGATCATTTTGGCTAGCAAATTCTCTACCCACACAAGCCCTTGACCTTCTGACTCCTCAGCGTGCTTGCTGCTACACTGCTTGACCTATTTACTAACTTGAGTTGATTGACACACATGTGAGCGAACTGCTGTCCCTTAC